CTGTCACCGCAGCCACCATCCTGGGTGTGACCACAACCTTGCTGTCCCCCCAGCCCAACGGTGTGTGCCCCACAGTGCCCAGTCCGGCCATGGGGTGGGAGTGGTGGGGTGGGCATGAACTTGGGCTTTGCTGGAGACGGCTGGAGCCAGTTCTGCCCTGGCTGGTCCCATATGGGTTCCACCAGTGTCCCTCAACCTCAGGGGCACCACTGGAGGCTCCCACTCATCCCCCATGCACTCAGGATCAGCCATCTCCGACCTGCTCTACTGGCTACAAGTCCCACCCCGTGGTGAGACCTGTCTACCCTGGCAGGGGCTGGCCGCGCGCCAGCACCTGAACAAAGCGGCTTCCTCTGCTGAGAAGGTATTTTTGACATGAGAAAAACGTATCCTCGTACAGCATCTGAGCCTTCCAGGTTTTTCCTGCCCAACCGGCTGAGCTTATTCAGAATATAGCTAGGAAATACATTCCAACAGCAAAGTACATTTTCCCAATGAAGTGGTTAAAGCTTTTCCAGGGCTGCACGCACTTGTCCTTCCGAGCTCGGCCTCGGCAAGCTGCATCATGCCGTGCTCACTATAGGTTGGCGAGCGTAGATGTGGCAGTGCCCAGCCCACCCCACCAGCAGACACAGACTTGCCCAAATGCAGCGAGAGCTGCAGCTTTCCTCCCGGTGCCACGGCCCAGCATGGCCCAGCGCTGCGGACCCACCTCCCGGGCAGACTGGGCACAAAGGGGATTCAGGCAACAGCCGTATGCCTCAGCGCAGTGGCCACGAATGGGACGTGAGCAGGAGGGATGTCCCCAGGTCACCTCTGAGCTTCTCCCGTCCGGGGTCCAGGGTGTCCCCCACCGGTCCCTGTTCGTTGCATGGGCAGCAGCTCCTCGTGGCGGCAACTCCATGGAGGTTCCCTTCATCTCGTGGCAGGACTTCTGCCCCCAGACCCTGCCTCTCTCTGCCTCCCCACAGGCTGGCGGGCGACTGTGCAGCTGGAGAAGGCACAGGCAGGATGGAGCTTTCTGGGGGTCCGGGCTGTGCTCCCCACCAAGAGGAGGGGAGATGGGCAGTATGGAGCAGCGGTGGGCGAAGGGACCCCAGTGCTGAGCACACAGCGGAGACGAAAGGGTGCGGAGACCACAGCGGGGCTGGGACCCGCCTGATTTCGCCATGCCACCGAGATCCTGGTAAGGGATGAGTCAGAGCCCTTCTGGGTTAGGGTGTTTCCTCTCCCCAACAGCTCTCCACCGCCCTTTGTCATTCCAGAGCCTCATGATTGCATAAATACAATGTGATAGTTAAACTGAATAAACCCTGTCGGGAGGAATATTATTGGCCTTAATACCCAGCCGTGGAGCCACCATGCGGAACGCTCAGGCCCAGCAATCAGCTCTGGGTGCTCAGGGACTTCGTTTCGCTCAAGTCCTGAGTGGGAAATGCCCCAGCGCTGCTTTGGGGACATGGGACACGCACGCTGCCAGACAGACTGTGGGAAAACTCACACTGCCGAGGCTTCCCTTCCCTGGGGTGCAGATGCCCTTGCACTGTTTTACACCCCAAGGAGCACCTGAGGGTTGTATCCTGCCCTTTGCTGCGCAGCCTCTCCTCCTGGAATAACTGCGGATCTCATGAAGACGCCAGGGCTGCAGGGGCACAGGTCTCCCCCAGCCTGGCCAGCAAGACCTGAGGCAAATGCGGCCCCTCTGGCAGAGCTCCTCCCCCCTTGCTCTGAAGCACTGGTTTCCCATTGCAAGAGAGAGGAAGACACCAGACTGCTGAGTCACAAGCATGAGCCCACATCTGGCCCAGCTGTGGGAGCAGCTGCTTTGCCAAATGGGTGTTTGGCACCATGTCCAGCCCAGAGTGGGATCTCTAGGACCTCCTCCTCCCACTGCATCCCCGTGTCTGGTGGACCAGGGCAGTACCACATGCGGCTCACCATGGGGCGATCCAGGGAAGGGGGTCTGGGAGTGATCAGGTCTGGGCAGCAGGACCCAAGAGTTGATGGGGAGGAGGAGAAAGGCCAGGCCTGCCTCCTCCCCATCACCCAGGGAGTTAGGTCCCAGTGCGACTTGATTGGGGGGGTGGGGGGGGTGGGGGTGGTAAAGCCCCATTGGCCAGGCAAGCTGGGAGATGCACAGCAGTATTCGCTCTTCCCTCAGCATCCGGACAGGCTGGGTGCTGGATCCTGCACAGCAGAAAGGCAGCACAGGGACTTGTGGAGGCTGCAGGCACCAGTCCCACGGGAAAGCCCTGCTGCTGCCACTGGGGCAGGCTGGACACAGCCCCCCGGCACCACCATGCAGGCCTCCAGCTCCTGGTCCATCTGCTGAGGCTGGTGCAAGGAGAGACACTATGTCCTCCAGCACAGCTGTGCTACTACTCCTGACTGGGGAGTTCAGTGGGGTGAGAAGATGTGGGAGACCTTGGCTGGTCCGAGGGATCAAAATACAAGTTTAACACTGACCCTGAACAGATACCCATGTACCCTTGAGGAGACAGAAGAATCCTGAGAAGATCCGAGCAAACAAGATAAGGGGTGGCAAACATCCTGGCTTTTCCCAGAGCATGAACAGTGCGTGATCAACAATTGTATTGGCTGAATGGTGTGTGATGTGAGAGTGGATTGGGCAAAAGTAGAATGTTAGAATATATGCACAGATAAGCAACCAGCTAAGAGGATATAAAAGAGCACTGCTTGTAAAATAAAGGAGGACGATTGCTGTAACTGGATATTGAGTGTCGTGTCTGTCTCTACAACGACAAGAAGATGAATACACAACCCGTAAACATCCATCATCCATCCATCCATCCATCCATCTATCCATCCATCCATCTATCCACACATCTGTCCAGCCATCCGTCCAGCCATCCAGCCAGCCACATGTCCATCCACACATCCACACATCCATCCACACATCCATCCACACTTCCTTCCATCCATCCATCCATCCATCCATCCATCTGCACACCCCATCCTGGAGAAGAGCTGGGAAGAGCCAGAGAAGGATCTTCTGGGACACGGAGACGAGTGAACTTATTTTGGGGATGGAGCCCCGTGAATGGCTCTCCCTCCCCGCCCCTCCCCTCCCCTCCCCTCCCTT